CCATGTACTCATCTCAACACTCTAACAAATGTAAAGTATCCTCTAACTAATGTTTTTACAAAAATGTCAGGGAGCACACCACACACAGAGAGAGAGATAGAGAGATAGTGAGAGAGAGAGAGAGAGAGAGAGAGAGAGAGAGAGAGAGAGAGAGAGAGACTCACTCACTCACTCATTCAAAGAAGAGAAGCTCAAACTTTCTAGATTCTGAAGTGATTTCAGAAGAGAAAGAATATAAGGCTTGAGGCCAAACAGCGTAATCACACAAATGTGCCTGCTTTACTTGTAAGAAAAGCTGAAAAGATACTTTCACTCTTTAAAGACCTAGAAATGAGCTTGCCACCAAGTCTGGCCTGAATTATGGGGGAAAGTGAGGACTCACTCCTTTCAAATGTCAACTGCCATAGATTCATGAAGAAAATGACTCATCCAGAAGGGGAGAAGCAATAAAAGGTATGATATTTAGATTACTTTTCTCCTACTGTTACCATTGTGCTGGTTTCCAACTGAAAAAACAAACAAACAAACAGACAGACAAACAAACAAACAAACAAAAACAAGAAATCTTTGTGCAGTCCTTTTGAAGAATTATCTAGATCAGGCTAGCCTGTGGTAATATCTGCAGGGGACTGCCTTGATTTCTAATTGCAGTAGGAATACTCAGCATCTTGTGGGCAGTACCACAGTTTAGGTGGGGATGGCCTGAACAGCACAAGAGGAGAATGCTAGCTGTGTGGGAGCAGGCAAGCAAGCATGTGCTTATTCTTTATGCTCTAGACTGTGGGTGGGATGTGATTTGTTGGGTGACTTCTTGCCATGACAGTCCCAAAATAATGGATTGGAATTGGAATTGACAGCCAAATGAACCCTTTTCTCTCCCAAGTGGCTTTTTGTCAGGATATTTTATCACAGAAACATATATAAAACTAAAACAAACTCCCTTCATCAGAGCTGCTGTGCTATCTAGAACAGACCCTTAAGATCCAGCCTGTGGCTAGGCATAGTATGCAAGTGCACACCTTTAATCCCAGCACTCGAGAGGCAGATGTAGGCAGATCTCCGTGATCTGGTCTACAGAGAGAGTTCTAGAACAACTAGAGCCATGTAGCAGGCTTTCTCAACCACCAGCTCCCAAATAATGAAACAGAGGTTTATTAATAGCTATGAATGCTCAGCCTTATCTTATGTTTGCCTCACTAGCTCTTGTAACTTAAATTAACTTGTTTCTCCTCATCTGCATTTTACCTCAGGGCTTTTTATCTTTATTTCCTTCTGCATGTCCTATTTTCCTGCTTCCTCTGTGTCTGGCTGGCCTGTGGCTGCCTGGCTGGCCCTGGGCGTCTCCCTCTTTTTCTCCCTTGTTCTCTCTCCTCTCCTTTCTCGAGCCTAGATTCCTCCTCCTATTATTCTCTTTGCCCACCAGCCCCACCTATCCCTCTACTGCCAAGCTTCTGGCCATCAGCTTTTTATTAGTCCAATCAGGTGCCTTAGGCAGGCAAAGCAAAACATCTTTACCTTGTTAAACAAATGCAACAGAAACAAATGTAACACACCTTTACATAGTTAAACAAATGCAACATAAACAAACGTGACACATCTTTGCCTAGTTAAACAAATATTCCACACAGGGTTACAAAGAGACCCTGCCTTGAAAAACAAACACATAAGCAAGCAAGCAAGCAATCAAGCAAGCAAGCAAACAAACAAACAAATAGATCTGACCTGTTAATCTCAACTAAGGGTTGACTTCAACCCTCAACTGAGAGCTCTCTCTCCCTCCTATATCTCCCTCACAGTTGTTTTTAAGTGTGGCCTATCTCTATGCAGTCTGTGGCCTAGAATGATGGTAGAGTATATAGTGTGGAAGGTTAATGGAAAAGGAGATCCCATCTCTGCAGCCATGGGTAAGCTGTCATCCATGCTGAAGTGATGTTTTCTTTGGTGTTATGGCTGCTTTGAGTCATCTATGCTGTATAAGTAACCCTTCATCCATGTAGGCAAGCATAAGAAACTCATAGGTTTGCCACATTGGACTTTGTTCTGTTGTTTATGTCCTTTCTGAGGAGTAGATGTTTGTTCCCATCTTCCCAGCAAGAGTTCATATAAAACATGGTGACCTACATTCATCTAGGTCTAACTTCCAAGCTCTGAATCATCCCTAACACTCCATGTGCATTACAGTAATATAGTCCACTTCCCTACTTGAAAAAGACATGGGGCTCAAGAAAGATTATGACAATAAAAATACTTGAAACCCTGACATACATGTAGTATAGACGGTGCTGTACAGGACTATTCTCTGAGTCACCTCTGCCACCATCTTCATGAGTTTAGTTGAAAAGATCATCACCGCTGGGCTTGCTGACTACTGACAGCCCATCATTGGAGTAGGTACAAGGAGAGTCATTGTTCATCACCCAAACATCTAACTCCTGCCCTACCAGCTAGTTCTATGTGTTCTACCCTGATTGTAGATGGACTCAGAAAAGAGCTAGACTATATAGGCTAGCGAGGACTAGGAAGAGGTTCCATCTATATAGCCATGGGCGAGTCACCATCCATGCTGGGTGCAGACCTTTCAGTGCAGCTGCTTTAAGGGCCACACATACTCCTGCCCATAACCCCTCACCCATGCACTGTAAGTCATCCTAATAAACCCACTGATTCTCTAGAGTAAACTTCAGTGAAATAGTTCAGTTTGTCATTAGCACTCTAGAGAGAGGTGTGGGCATTGTTTATGCCTCCTTCAGGGAAGTAATTTTAGCAAGATTAAAAACTCAAAATGATTCAACTTACCATTTATTTTAATGGTCTACATTAATAATACCTATGGAAAGCAATGTTAATTCTTTATAATTTGAGGGATTTCAAATAGTTTAAGTTAAACTCAAGCTCTACTTAAAAGAAAACATAATTATGGTAACTACTTGGTAAAAGTGAATAATATTTAGAAAGGGCCATTACGCACTGGCTAATCAAACAACAGAGTTGGGGAGAGAGCTTTATGTCATTATATCACTACCTTTCATTTGATAAACAATTTCAGTTTATGTCTGTCAGCTTGTTTAGCAAGCACATGAAATTCATGGCTCTTACAACACTTCCTAAAGAGAAATTTTGGCCTTATAAAACTACTTGACATTCATGAAGGGATACTTGGGAAGTGAATAGTACTATCACACTTTAAAAAGTTAACCATAATTACATCAATTTAATGTGTGCCATACTAGATTAATTCCAGCAACCAAAGTACAGCATACAACTTTTCTTTTAACATCTAAACAATCTTTGCAACAATTATCTGCAAAATCAGATCTCAGTAGACAAGAGATGCCTTTGTTGGATGCCTCCCTTTCAGCTAGTACTTAAGTACACTTTTTCTGCCAACTAATGATGCTGCTGTATTCTGTTGGCAAAATATAGTACTTTTTAAAGTTGTGACTTCAAAGACAGATCTCAGAAAGTCTATCTGCTATCACATTTGAAAACTTTTTCAAGTAGAAGTGGCGCAAGCCTTTAATCCCAGCATTTGGAAGACAGAGGCAGGCAGATCTCTGTGAGTTTGAGGACAGCTTGGTCTCCAAAGCGAGTTCCAGGAAAGGTGCAAAGCTACACAGAAAAACCCTGTCTCAAAAAACGAATAAACAAACAAAAAAAACCAATATATTCATATGGTCATAACATACACAACATTAATAGATCACTGCTGAACATATTTGCACAAGAAGCTAGAAATTCATCTGAAGGGCACACTCTAAAGGGAGAGGGTAAGCATTAATAGGAGGACCAATACCAAGTACTTTTTATACTCTATTTCATTCTCCTCACAGGAACTGTATGAAGCAAGTATTACTGTGATTCATACTTTACAGATAAACAACAACAACATCAAAACAGAAACATGTGGAAGTCAACTTATCTAAATGACACATCTGATAAGATTAGAAGCCAGTGTATTAACTTGTCAATTGTCCTGAAAAGAGCTGGCACAGTAAGCTGCACCTGACAACCTCAGAAAAGAACGTTCACAAGTATAACCATTGGCCCCCATGTGCTAACTTGTATGCTGGACGGGTTTCCACTATTCTCTCCTAACAGTGGCCTGCATATCTGAAATTGATGTGGTTTAGGCTACACCAAATTTTCTCTTGGGAGTCTGGAATTAAGGTGTAAGCAGAGAGTACATATACTAATAAAAATCTTGAGGAGGAGGAAGAGCTCTAATGAGCTACTTTGGCATACAGCATCTTACATTTGCTGCTCTGGGAAGCTGGTACCTTGTTTCCTACATACTGCTAGGTGCCTCCTTGTTCAATCATGCTCTGTCTCTTTTTGCTGTAATGAACCACAAACTATGACTTGGATGAGTGCTGTGAGAATCATTACACCTGATATCATCTTAGCAACCCACGACATATCAAAGTATATATGTGGACATGGTGTTAGGAGTTAGGGACTCAACATAATAGGTAAGTAAAGATAACAGTGTATTATATTTGTCTAGAACTTTACAGTTTAGACAAACCATGCTAGGTGTATTGTTTCTTTCATTTCCATATAACATCCTAAGGCTCTGTTTCCTAAAGCTGTAATCCCTAGCCTCTTTGCATGCAAATGAATGAGACATTATACTTTAAAAAAAAATTCCCCTTTGCCACAGCAATTCACATATCCAAAATTAATGTTGACAAAGAGTCTTTAAATAATAAATTGTTTAGAATTATTCGTATTTGATAGCTTCCTGAGAATCTGGATCTTTATCATAGAAAAAAACAAATCAGGAACACAAATTCAAGTCTAAACAATAATTTTCAATCATCTCTCACTGAAGGTGCTACTTCAGTTTCAGGATTTCAAAGGCTTGGGCTGGGAAGGGAGAGGCTGATTTAAAGCCCATGGCCTGTCCTAAGACGTGGCTTTCCCTTTTTCAAAGATGTTGTAGCAGTACTGGTTAAATTAATCCTTTAGAACGACATGAGAATTTCAGTCACATGCTTTACCTTATCAGCCTGCCGCATATAGCAGTAGAGAATTCCTCTCATACACTTTATGGCAGAGTGCTCCAGCTCATGGGTCCTTCCCTTGTCGTCGTCAATGCGCCTGGGTGAGAGAGATAACTCAGGAAACAAATTGGAATTGCATTTGAAAAGAGAGTAGAGCTTTTGATAATTAAGTATTTAACTACTGACTAATCCTGTGTTCTGGTGACATCTACTAATTCTGCCAGGGAAGTTTCATCTTCCCAACAGATTTAGGCAAAAATAAAAAAAAAATTAAAAATTAAAAAAAAACCTCATGGTAAAACTTGTGCAGCTTTTACCTTGCTTTACGAGGGTGAGTCAATTCTTTTTAAAAGGGAATTTTCTACAGTTAAAGCTTATTTCTACACTAGAAAAAAATCACCCACAATTATTTGAAATTCACTGTTACAAAATGCAGACGAGCTATCTCTTTATGATATGTAATTCCCGGTTGGATTCAAAGAAGCAGAAATTAAGGTAGGCATAAGCTTTCTTTGCTGTGCCCCAGGGAGCATATCAGTCCTTAAAGAGGCCCTCAACTAAACACACATCTTATGGTTTATTCTGGCATCAAGTTTCAGTTTTAGTTTAAAAATCAAGTGATCTTTTTTTTTTTTTTTACTTCTCTTGCTTTAAAAAAAATAACAGCCAAAATCTAATCATTAAACTAGATTAAAATGTTCTTTCTGGACA